AGCGGCAGGCTAGAGGTAGTGCAGTGGCAGAGACGCTGCTCGGGAAAGCTCTCACCAGACCGGGTGGGGAGGGCCGGGGCGCGCCGGCAGGAACAGGGCCGCAGCTGCGGCGGCGGCGGCTCGGTGGCTCAGCAGCGGCTCGGCGGCTCGGCGGCTCGGCGGCGGCTCGGCGGCTCGGCGGCGGCTCGGCGGCGGCCCGGCGGCTCGGCGGCGGCTCGGCGGCTCGGTGGCGGCTCAGCGGCTCGGCGGCTCGGTGGCGGCTTAGCGGCTCGGCGGCTCGGTGGCGGCTCAGCGGCTCGGCGGCTCGGCTGCAGCTGCGGCGGCTCAGCGACGGTGGCGGCAGGGTCGGTGAGGGGCCGCACAGAGCGGCGAAGGGGCCGCTGGAGGGCGGCGAATGGGCCGCTGAAGGGCGGCGACGGGGTCACTGAAGGGCGGCGGCGGGGCCTCTAGAGGGCGGCGACGGGGCCGCGGAGGGGCGGCGGCGGGGCCGCTAGAGGGCGGGGACGGGGCCGCGGTAGGGCGGCGACGGGGCCGTTGAAGGGCGGCGGCGGGGCCGCTAGAGGGCGGCGACGGGGCCGCGGTAGGGCGGCGACGGGGCCGCTGAAGGGCGGCGGCGGGGCCGCTAGAGGGCGGCGACGGGGCCGCGGTAGGGCGGCGACGGGGCCGCTGAGGGGCGGCGGCGGGGCCGCTAGAGGGCGGCGACGGGGCCGCAGTGGGGCGGCGACAGGGCCGCTGAAGGGCGGCGGCGGGGCCGCTAGAGGGCGGCGACGGGGCCGCTTGGAGGGCGGCGACGGGGCCGCGAAAGGGTGGCCGGGCCGCAAGGGGCGGCGACGGGGCCGCTAAGGGTGGCGACGGGGCCGTGAGTGGGGCCGTGAGTGGGGCCGCTAAGGGCGGCGTGACGGTTCGCTAAGGGGAGGGCGGCCCACAGGACGCGCCTCGGTCAGGGGCGACTGGATCTCAGGGCAGAAAAAAAAAATTAGTGGTGGGCCCAAGGAAAAGTTCCCACTAGGGAACCTGCTCTATACCATGTGAAGAAATGAGGAATGAATGAACTAGGATATGAGTTGGGTACAAATATGAAACCCTAGAAAGCTGTACCCCATACTGTCTACCCCACTACAGCCTAGAAAGACTATAGCATATAAGTTCGACAATATTCTCTATCATCCTATTGACGTGAGGGGAATTATCTGCACACGAGCCAATCAGTCAATTAACGCTGCGCAACGGAGTTTGTGACTACTCTAGAGCACACGATTAGTTTCACACTTGGGAAATCCCTCTACAAACACGGACCCTTGGTTAGGGGCTGGTTTTACCAGGCACCCGAGGACCCTTGGAGGTGACCCCGTGGGGATAACTGAGTGGTGATTAAAGGTGCGCTTAGAGGTTCCTAGTTTCAACTATATAACTGTTTATATTGTTGGGTGCAAATATTTATTTTGCACATCAATCCGCCACCTGCACGTCATTTCGCATCACACGAACGGTTCGCGCGCTTTCATTTTGACACTTCACTTCATTCGCATTCATGGCGAGTTCACATTCATTCACGAGAGCTCACAACGAGGCATCGCGAATTTCCATGAGCATTCATTTAGTATTCATGGCGAGGGAGCATTATGCAGATCCACGAGTGTCTCACGAGTCCCCACGAAGCGAGACTCATGAAGAGTCGCGAGTGTTCACGAGGAATCAGTTTTGACTCGTGGAATTTTATCTCGTCAGTCAAGGTCAACTGCGCGAAAATATCAAAACCCGCGAGTGGGGTTCTGATCGTGCGTGTGGGCCCTCAGGCCCACGCGTGTGCCTCGCACTGTTGGGAGCGTGCACTGTGGGCACGATCGCAACAGAACAGGGCGAATGATCCCCCTGCCCACGCGCAGCACTGCGCACATCAATGCATGTCAGAATTGAAGGTTAACTAGAGTAGATTAGGAACATCCTTAGAACCCATAGCTTAGAGTTTAGAGCAAGGCTAGGAGGTGACGAGAGAGTTTGGCCAAACAAAAGAGGAGTTGCACTATGGAGGGACAAGTACAAATAGGCAAGAAAGGAGGTGCACCACCTACAGCAAAAGATTACATGCACTACAGTCTATACTGCATAAAGTTATATTCGAACACACCCCCTAACTGCATGCAGTGGATGACCATGTGCAGCAACACCCCCTATAGGGGTACACTAAGTAGAGCGCAGCAGAAGGAGAGGGCAAGTGAGGAGGAGGGACTATAAGAGGAGTGGAGATAGGAGGCGACGGGTGAAGCAGCAAACACACAGGCAACAGGAGCTGCGCGCACAGTGGCTATCGAGCGCACGAGGGCACCGGACTACGGGAGTATCTGGCTCCGCGGCTACGACGAGCAGCAGGAGCAACGCACCCACAGGCGACTGGCGAAGCAGGCTCGCTAAGCTACCGAGAGCACGAGGGCTCCGGACTACTGGCGCTGCTGACGACACGACGGCGACCTCCGTTCAATCTCCCCTAACAGTCCCACACCCCCTTCTCACACACCCCCTTGCTAGCGCCACTCCCCAACCTCACCCACTCCATCCCCCACTCAGCGGCAGATGCAGCAGTGGGAGAGAGAGGAGGGGCAGCTGGTCACGCATTCCCACCACCCCCTTACATCCGCCACCCCCATACCCTCCACACGACTGCACACGCAGCAGAAAATCGAAGGAAGAGGGGGGGAAAGCGGGCGGCGTCACGACGTGCAGGGCGCAGGCGGGCATTGGGGCGCCCACAACGGGCAGGGCGCGGGCGGTAGGTGGGTCCAGGAGGGGCGGCGCACGGGTCCCCAGGGGCGGCGCGCTGGTCCAGCAGGGGCGGCGCGCGGGTCCCGCGGGGCAGCGGGGGAGCCCCGTAGGGCGTCTCGCAGGTCCAGCGGGGGCGACGCGCGGGTCGCGCAGGGCATCGCGCGGGTCCAGCGGGGCAGCGCGCGAGCCCCGCAGGGCGTCGCGCGAGTCCAGCGGGGGCGACGCGCGGGTCCCGCGGGGCAGCGCGCGGGTCCTGCGGGGCGGGGCGCCGAGCAGAAAACCGCCGCGCGCCCCGAGCGCGCGGCGGGATGAAAAAAAAAACGCCACGCGCGCCCCGAGCGCGCGGCAAGCAGAAAATGCCTCGCGCCCGGGGCGCACGGTAGGCAGGACAGCAGCGGAAGCATGGGCCCACAAGCCAGGATCTAAGAAGCTCTGATAACATGTCAGAATTGAAGGTTAACTAGAGTAGATTAGGAACATCCTTAGAACCCATAGCTTAGAGTTTGGAGCAAGGCTAGGAGGTGACAAGAGAGTTTGGCCAAACAAAAGAGGAGTTGCGCTATGGAGGGACAACTACAAATAGGCAAGAAAGGAGGTACACCACCTACAGCAAAACATTACATGCACTACAGTCTACACTGCATAAAGTTATATTCGAACAGTGCATAGTACTGCACGACCGAAATATTGGCCGTGCATGATTGCGGGAAAGGACGAGCTCGGGATTGCGGTTGAAAAACCGAATCCCGCGTTGACTCGGCGTACAAGTAGCTTCGCCGGAAACGTCGTGCGTGTAACGCGACATTTTCGATACAGGGAGAAAACGGTAAAAACCGTTTTTCAACTGTGAAAACGGTAATCCCACACGAGTGTTCATAATTGCCAACGAGAATTCATGAGCACTCATGCGTGGAGTCAGCAAGGGCATTTGGCAGACATGAAATTTGAAGACAGTTTTCTTCAACATGCAAATCAAGCCAAATTCCGCAGTAGTTTGACAACCGTTTTCTTTGGCATATCTGGCGAAGTCCTGAACTCCAGTTAAGCAACCGTTTTGTGTGTTTTCCTTCTGTGTGCTTAGGAGTCTATATAAAATGCATGCTTGTACTTGCTTGGAACAATGAATACTGTTATGCTTTCACTCTGGAATTCTACTACTACGTATTGACAAGAGTAGAAACGCTCTCATGGTGCTGCCAAAACGCTGCTCGACCAGATCTCTCACCCTACAAGCGAGATAAGCATAACTACTCCCTTGTATGTTTTTTCTAGGCCCTTGGCCATGAGGTGACAAGTTGTCACACTCGGAGGGCCTTAAGGGAAGTTAAGTGTTGCTTAGTTTTAGCTTGTGGTAAAGTTTTCAACGCTTCCGCATAGGCTATAGCTGTTAACAAATATCTGACTGTATTTCATTTTTAATAATATCTGTAACTCTGATATATTTAAAACTCGATCCCAAAATTCAAAACTATAATCTTTATTTTCTAAACGTCGGAGCACGGGCCGGAGTCGGGGCGGTCGCAGTTGAATCCGCCAACAGATACCTCAACGGCGATACTTCCACTGCTCGCCGAGGTCGGCGAGCCAATTGATAAAGATGTCGAGGACATCCACTCTTCTTCCTCTCTCCCTGTCCCTGCTATTCCACCCCTCGTTGCCGATCTATAGCAGCCGACGATGGTGTCGTCCTCCGGCGAAAAGGGGAGCAGTGGGGCGTCGCCTGTGATGCCGGCCAGTGACATCGCCGGCTGCCGACATGACGTTAAACAATACGCCGTGGAAACGGAGCCGACGAAAACCATGGAGAAGTTGGCGGAGGAGATGCAGCCGACTTTGGTAAATTCGGCAGAGGACGCGTCGGCACAGAAGCCAACGACAGGAGAAAAGGCAGTTGAGCCGCCGGCTTTGGTGCAGTAGGTTGGGAAAGGCGGAAATATAAAAGGAGGCGGCAAAGGGAGTGATGGTGGAAAAGGCAGCGGGAAGGCGGAAGCAGAGAATGGGGCAAGAATAAGGGTGAGAATGGCGGAGGTAGTGTGGGCGCGCTGACTTGCAGAAACTCAATCGACTGATGGGATGCAGGCGGCATATTCTCCGTCCTCACCTTGCTTGTTGGCAATGGCAACGCTCCTAGCGACCTAGAAGGCATCTTTGGGAGCAGGGGTGGGAATGGAAAGGGCAAGGTTGACGACGAGGGGAACAGTGTGGAGAGTGTTGGTCACGTAGGCATGAGTAAGGTAGTGATGGGGACAATGGGGACCGGCAACAGCAAGGAGCAGGGCAAGGTGCAGGAGCAGGGTAAGGGAAAGGGGAATGGTGGAGGTAGAGGGAAGGGGAAGGGGAAGGGTATGGGGAATGATGGAGGCAAAGGGAAGGGGAAAGGGAATGGCAAGGGGAACAGGCAGGTGAATGGGCAGGTGAACAGGCAGGGGACGGGTAGGGGAATAGTACAGAAAGTGGTAGCCCTGCAGGCATGGTGATACGTGCCATCTCGCGTGTGTTGGTTGATGGGGATCGGCAACGGCAGGGGGCAGGATAACAGGTGCGGGCAGGGCATTGGGAAGGGGAATGGAACGGGGCTTGGGTCGGGAAAGTGCAAGGGAAGAATGCGGGTGGTGTGATTGCACAGCTGAGGGGCAGCTGTGTGGTGGCTGATGCGCTGACAGCCCGTGGCAATGCCAACGCCACTGGCATCCTTGAAAAAACCCTCCTACAGTAAATGCTTTGCTGCTCTTGATCACTCGATTCAATTTGAGAAAATGCCCCTTGCGTGTAAAGCAAACCTGTCATTTCCGGCCCACCTCGCTCATAGCATGTTTCTCTCATCCCTTCTCCTCCCTTCTTCTCCCTTCTTTAACCTCCTCCTCCCTTCTCCTCCCCTCTCCTCCCTTCTCCCTCCTCCTCCCTTCTCCTCCCCTCCCTTCTCCTCCCTCCTCTTTCTCCTCCCTTCTCCTCCCTTCTCCTCTATTCTCCTCCCTTCTCCTCCCTTCTCCTCCCTTCTCCTCCTTTCTCCTCCCTTCTCCCCCCTTCTTCTTGTTGGAGTAGACTAGAGTTTGCTCTGGTCTTTATTTTGGTGTTCTCATGTTATTTCGCCATGCTTAGAGTGAGTTACGCTTTGAGGTTCAATCTAGGTTCATTTTGCAGCTATAGCATAAACTGAACACACCCTAAGTTTAATTGGGGTTTCCAGCACCTTTCTAGAATTGTATCTCGACACTCTCTCGTAGTACAATTTTTCTCTCCCACACATAACTCTCTCGTCATCCATGGCTTCTCTTAAAGCCCAAGTCTAGAATGGTACGAGTTCAAGTCCAAGATTCTTGAAGTAGAAATCGCCAAAAACCAGATAACCCGGTTTGGGACTTCCACACCCTCGCGACCCACGGAGTTTGGTTCCAACGGAGAGTTTCTGATTGGTTGAAATCAACCCTGGCAAAATGATCAACACTTTCACCTCAAACGGGTCATTGTTCATACTTCCAAAAACTTGAAACCGTAACTCACCATAATATACCCGATACCTACGAGGCTACATATCGTAGAATATCGTAGTTCTCTCCCAGCACACTCAATCCCGCCTAACCATCCCGAATCTTTAGGGCGTGTGTGAATCTAGTTTTTACCTTAAGTTTAGGTTTTTTACTCGATTGTAGCAAGTGAACACTAAGCGAACCTGACTCGATTTTGAGTGTTTGCAAGGTTCGAGCCGCAAGTGTCAAATGTTGTAAACTCACAACCACACCCGCAAGTGCGAATCTGCAAGTTCGAGCCTGTAGGGGGGGAACCGAACCGCTTCTAGGGTGCGTAGGTTACCCAGTATCGGCATCTTGACAGCGCGACACGTCAATGAATCGCACGAATTTGTTGCGAGTGTCGCACATTCCGCGTACGTGCCTGAAACCACACACGTTCACTACAACGTGCAAAACCACGTTTGCTCATATACTCGAATCTTGTTCACTTTTCGGGGTTCGAGTTTCGTGCGTGACAAAATGAACACGGCATTGGCGAAGGCGTTTGCGAAAATGCTCGAAATTGGTTACCACAATAGGTTCGATCCCATTTTAGAACTGCAATTAGATTCACACACGCCCTTAGTCGTTTCCGTCCTTCCCGTCATAACATTCTCTCCCTTTGTTCAACATAGTCAGGAAATATGTCACTCCCTCTCCTTCACGACCGCCTATGTACTCAAAATAGGTTCTCCAGCCCGTGAATATTTACGGATCACCCAAGTAGGCAAATTCTTCATTAGTGATGTAACTACCGGTCCGTCGCGGTAGCAACTACGCAGCCACCCGTCCCATTCATTCAGACTCTCTTGTCCCTGTCATACACTGGCCTCCCCTCCCTCCTGTGTCACACATGACTCCTCATCATCGCTAACGTCCCTCCGGTCACTCTCGTCGTCCTTGTCTCTCTCATCGCCCTAGTCTCTCTCGTCGTCCTTGTCGCTCTCGTTGCCCTGCTTGCTCTCGTCGCTGTCATCCTCGCTTCCTTAGATTGTGACGGACGCTTGCAGCTCACTCACGCCCGTCGTTCATTTCACTCTCGTCGATCATTCGCGCGTCACTCACTCTCGCTCTTCGCTCATTCATGCTCGTTCACCCTTCCTCCCTTCATTCGCGCTTCCTCCCTTTGCTCCGAACTGCTTCCTCCCGTCACTCCCGCTCCTCTCGTCCCACCCGCCCCTCGTCCCTTCGGCTCCTGTCCCTCTTCCCGTGGTTCCCGTAGCTTCCGTCCCTCCTGTCCCCCCCGTCGCTTCCATCCTTCCCATCGCTCCCGTAGCCCACGTCGCTCCTGTCGCTCTCTTCCCTTCCCTTCCCTTCCCTTCCTACCTGTAGAGGCGGAAGCCTTACCACCTGCCCCTGGCAAATTCTCCTCTCGTCAACCTTCGCGCAACCCTTTTCAAGTTCAATATTTATAGACCCTTGCCATTCTATGCGCGGGCTTTGACTTAACATGGTATTCAAAGCTTAGTCCTAGGCGTTTCAATTACTTCCCCATCTTCTAGCAAATCTTTGGCCCCTAAGTTTTTCACGCGCTACCTATTAGCTAGACATTTTTTCAGTTATTTTTTAGTCACTTTTAGTCCCGTGGATTTCCTAAACTAGTCACGCGACCACCGTAGCGCCTTTCCTAGCGCCTCATACCACCATCTAGCCCTTCCCCACCCCGTCGCGCCTCCTCCTCCCCGTGTTTCCGAACCTAGCACGACTGTTTCCGCCCGAAGCACCCTCTGCCGCCCTCCCCCTCCTATCCCGCGCGCGTCGCGCTACCGCCGCACTGCTGCGCGCGCGCGCGGTTCGCACCATTCAGCAACGCACGCGCCTGCTATTCCTCGTGGCGCGCCCTTTCCTTTCGTGAAGTCCCCTCTCTTCCCACAATCCGCCCCTTCACCATCCTCCTTCTCTCCTCTCTCCCTCTAGTCCCCCCCATTATTATCCCACAACCCTTTTCCTCCGTGGCGCACCCCACTCGTCATCCCCGTACGCCTCCCCACTCTCCACTGCATGCCATCAAACTTCCCCTCCGCACAATCCACCCTCTTCACCCTCCTCCTCCTCCTCTCCTCTATCCCTTCCTTCCCCTCCCAATGTCACTCTCTCCTCCGCCTCTCTACTCTCCTCAACTCCAAACCTACCTTCCACACCATCCACCCCTTCACCCTCCTCCTCTCTTCTCTCCCTTCATTCCCCTCCCCATCTCACTCCCTCCTCCGCCTCTCTCTTCTCCTCTACTGCTGCAGCTGGTTGCTGGCTTTGCTTCGTAGCCTTGCACGCAATTCGCACCGCACTGCTGCAGCTGGTTGCCGGCCTTGCTTTGTAGCCGTGCTCCTCTCCCACTCTTTTCAACCGCCTCTTATTCCTCCCCTCAGCGGCTAGCAGCTGACTACTCCGCCATTGTCCCTCCTCCTCTTGTTTCTCCCCTTAGCGGCGCAGCAGCAGACTACTCCGCCGTTATCCTTCCTCCTCTTATTTCTCCCCTCAGCAGCGCAGCAGATAACTACTCCGCTGTTATCCCTCCTCCTCTTCTTTCTCGCGTCAACGGCTCAGCAGCTGACTACCTCGCCCCTATTCCTCCTCCTCTTTTGTCTCCCCACATCCACTCCATTGCTATCTCCTCGCCTTGATGGCGCCGCCTATTCTTGCTCTTACCTTTCTTCCTCTGCTCTTCCGCCCTCAACCTCCTCCCGTCGTACCTCCTCTCCTACCCTTGCCTTCCCTACCCTCCGCTTCCCTCGCTGTCCCTTCCTCCATAGGAAACCACCTCTCTTACTTGCCGCTGGACCCCCCCTCTTCTCCACCCCTCTGCTTGGATTCCACTATCCCATCAGCGTCGCCGCTCCTCTGCCGCTATAACCTCTGGTATTGGTTCTCTGGCCTCTGTCTTCAATGTGACCATGCCATCTCAGGATAGTATCCTTGGTGCTTCTCCTCTTATGGACCCTCGTTTTGTCGTTCCACTTTCTCCACCCGTTCAAAGCACTGTCTTTCACTCTCCTAGCCCTGCGGCTGCCGCTCTCTCACTTCCTCGCACCTTGGATTTTGTTCTTGACAGTGCTGCCACTGACTCTGTCTTTCGTGATGCTGGTGTCCTTCGCAATTTTCCTCGTCCCCTCTCTATTGATGGGGCTGGGGAGACCATGGCCATGATCTGCACTGGCACTTCCTCTCTTCCCTGTCCTGCCTCTCCCTGTGGCGCTGTCACTAGCCTTTATATTCCCTCTTGCCGTCATAACCTCCTCTCCCTCCCTGCCCTCTAATGCCTGGGTGTGCGAGCATTCTTTCCCGCAGGTGAACTCTATTGTGATCTTCATTACTGCGACCGGCACCTTGCTTGTTTCACCCTTTCTCCTATTACTTGCCTCTACACCCTTCGTGTTCCCCTCCCCTCATCTGTCCATCACACTTCCTCTTCTTCTGCCCCTCCCGTCTCCTCTTGCGACTGTCGCTTTCTCACCCAACCTATCCTTCTTCTTCATCATTGTCTTGGCCACCCCAACTTCCCTCTCCTTCGCAGCATGGTCACTTCGAAGCTGCTTCATGATCTCCCTTCCTCTCTCCCGCCCCTCCCCCCCTCTCCCACTCCTCCATGCACCCCTTGTGTTCAAGCTAAGCTCTCTCAATCTCCTCATCCTTCTTCCCCTTATGCCTCCCCCAAACCCCTTGATCTTGTGCATATGGACCTCTGGGGTCCCTCTCCCATTGCCTCCCGTCAAGGTCATCATTACTTTCTCCTTCTTGTCGATGACAACTCTCGCTTTGACACTGTCTATCCCCTCGTGCCAAATCTGACGCCCCCTCTCTCATCATTCGCTGGGCTGAGCAGGCACGCCTTCGCTTTGGCCGTCCTGTCGCACGCTTCCACTCTGATGGTGGTGGCGAGTTCTTTAACCACTCTCTCCTTTCTTACTGCTCCTCTCATGGCATTCGCCAGACCTCCACCCTTCCGCATTCTCCTGAACATTGAGCGTTGTATTCGCACTCTCATTGAGATCACCCGCTGTCTCCTTACTCATGCTTTTGGTCCACGTTCTCTTTGGAGCTACGCTCTTGTTCATGCCACTCTTCTTTCCAACCTTTGCCCCCATCCCCTTCGCCCTTCCATTACTCCCTTCCAGCTCTGGACTGGCCGCCAGCCCTTCGCCCGCCCTCTTCGGGTGTGGGGCTGTGTCGCTCATATCCTTATTAATCCCACTGATCGAGCACGTTAGGGTGGGAAGCTCGATCCCAAGACGCAGCTCTGTGCGTTCATTGGCATCAACGCTGACTGTCCTGGCTATCTTTTCTATGCTCCCTCCTCTCAGCAGCTCATTTGCAGCCAGGATGTTATCTTCGATGAGACTCGTTCTCCATTCCTCACCCCCCCTCCCACCCCTCCTCCTCACTGTCTTCATTGGTCTGACTTTGATCCGCTGCCCTCTGCTGCTCCCTCTCCTTCTCCACTTCCTCCTCCCCTTGCTCCGCCTCCCCTCCCTGCACCCTCCACTCCTCCCTCTGCTGTCATCTCTGGCACCTCTTCTCCTCTCTCTTCCTCTTCTG